AAACATTATTTCGTTACATCAAATTCCCGAGTCGAATAATTGGACCTGACAAGTTCTACTTAGGTCTTTCCGTTCAGAACTGGATAGGTCTTGGGGAGACTCGTCCCAAGTGCTTCCGAGACCTTTCTACCTCTGGTTATGTCCCATTTCAGCACTAGTGTAAGCAGGACTTATATTCAGACTTTCCAAATCCTTGCCGGTCCCCGTAATACTATGGGCCTAGATTAAATCCAGCTTCATATCCCTGTTTACGCATGCGTTATTGAAATAAAAAATGCAATTATTAACTTTTTTTTAATCTCAAAAAACGACATTTCACAAGAGGGTGGAGGGGAGACGCATGTATGCGGAGGATTGAAATTTTTACCCAACAAGGGGAGAAGGTTGTAGAATCTATTGTAGCCACCCTCGTTCGTCCGCTTGCATGCGTTGTCTAAATAAAAAATGAAATTGTTAACAAATCTGACCCTTGCTCCAAGTAAAATGAAAATTTTTTATTTCGACATTTCTGGCGCCTCCGAGGGTGCCATTGGCATTAGAGGGGTCCATAAATACGGAATCAACGTTCACCCAGCTAAAAAATTCGATTTTGGCGAAAATCCACTTGCCCCGGAAAACCCGAAAATCTGACCCTTTGGCTGGGGCCAAAAAAAACGGTTTCTCAGTTTTCACTTTTTCCACATACTTTTGACAGTTCTGACAAGCCCGGCGCTTAAATAGTTGGAATCAACGTTCACCCGGCTAAAAAATTCGATTTTGGCGAAAAATCCAAGATCTGACAGTTTCTATATCCATCAAATGAATGGGTTCATTCAATTTTTGCGTTCTCATTCGCATGGAATAAATATTTTTTTATGTAAACAAATGTTTTGTTTGGTAACAAAAGTCGGCCCATTTGTTTAACAAAATTTTTCCTTCGTCCAAGTCTTTGCAGCTCGATAATTAGAGACACTTCCCCGCTGCAACAAAAAAAAACCCAACAATGCTCTCCCTTTAGAAATCATAAAATAGTCGTTTCAATTATTGAGTTCCATTCACAGTAATCGTCATTCAATTTGTAAAAATTTCCTAATTAATACGTTTGTCGCTTACCATCAACTTTCTCCAGCCACGACTCTGATTAATACGATATCTTTCTTGAACACCGGAACGCTCAGTGTCCCATAAATAAACCACAGAAAATGCCAGATACATTGTAACGCCGTAAAAATCCGGTAGAATGCCAATCGGAAAATTGTTTTGATCCAGTGGAAATGGCAAGTCGCGAATGCAGCCGATGTTTGGCTTTGGGGGCGCGCAACGTGTCGCAATCTTGTATATATATACGAGCGATATTTTTGCAGGATCAAGAAAGAGATGCCGAGTCCATGGGAGATTGGAATGCGGAGATTAGCCGCGGTGCGAGAGCCAATGAAGTTGAAAATAAAAAGTCATGAGAATAAATGACAAAAATGGCATTTTTACAATTTGTTTGGACTCCAACATTTTCATCTTTTCCAACTATTCCCACTGTATGCGGAAAAAATCAACCCTCCGATGCATCAGACAAACGCAAACATATCTCCGCCGCAGGAAGGAACAAATTAAAATGAAAATCGGTGAGAAAAATCGCAATTTTTTCGTCTATCTTTCTACTTCATCTTCGAAATGAATAGTTATGAGAAAATGGTATTTTTGCCAGTTGTTTGGAGTCCAACGTTTTCACCTTTCCCAGCTATCCCGATTACGTACTGAAAAAATCAACCCTCTGGGGAAGCAGACGAACACTAGCATATCTCCAACGCAGGAAGGAACAAATTACTATAACAATCGTCGAAAGTGGTCCCATTTTTTCATCTATTTTTATACTGCATCTTCGACATGAATAGAATGTTCTTGTGAAAATGATTCTCGTAGACGAATTTATAACAAGAGAAATGAGAAAGGGGGAAGATAGATCACCGCCACCAACCAAAATTACATTTTTATTATATTTCATCAGTTGTCCAGCATTTTCATCTTTTCCAAACATTCCCACCACATGCTGAAAAAATCAGCCCTCCAATGCGTCAGACAAACACAAACAAATCTCCAACACAGGAAGAACCAAATTACAATAAAAATCGTCGGAAAAAAAATGCCAATTTTATCATCTATTTTTCTACTTCATCTTCGAAATGAATAGAATGTTTTAGTGATGAGAAAAATGATTCCCGTAGATGAATTTATGAGAAGAGAATGGAAAAAAAATCAGCAAGTGGGCTTTTAGACCTTCGTGAATTCATGAGAAAATAACGAAGAGTTTGGGAAAAAAAGAAGAAAAATAGAAAGGGGGGATGTAAGGATGGACGACCGCCACCGCGAGCCGATCGCTAAAATCGTGCACCCAATCAGCCGGTCTTTTGTGTTTCCAAGAAACAGCACCGGCGCGCGAGATGACCGCGTGCGTGCTGAACGCTACTCTCTCGCTCCTCTCTCACCCCCTCATATTTAGTCTCCCCTTTTCCCTCCTTTCACCCAGTGTGATCTTTTTTTTATACTTAATTTTATTTTTTCCCTTGGAGCAAAGGGGGCCCTTATGCCTATATCCTAACGCCGTGAGTTCTTTCTCGCCACGGCTATTCTCTTCGATTGGATATGCCGTATAGATATGAGTCCCAAATGGAGAAACCAGTCCTCCGATGATCCTCTTTGACGCTATGGACACTCTCCCCCTCGCGTGTTCCCTCTTTTTGCCAAAACGTTAAGACCTTCGGAAATTTACCCTCCCATCGAGATAATGTGATTCAACAATTCAGAATTCTTTAAATATAAAATACAATCGCAATATTGTTACTGTAAATTCTCGAATACACTTTTTTTTAATAAATTGTGTTCGCGGGTCTTTTCTTTTATCATAATTGTGCAAATAATTTTTTTCTTGTCGAGGTAATTAGCGAGTTATAGCCATTGAATGGGGAAACAGTTAATTAACTGAAATTCAATCTCACTGAAATCCAATTACGATATGAAAAGTTATTTTCAATTGAGCGCGATTTTTTCATCATCGTTTTCACCAAAACTTGAAAACATTCGAAAATTTACTCTTCCCATTGAGATAATGTGATGTAACAGAACCATAAAATCCGATCGAAATGTTTGAGATTCAATTCGTGACTTTTAATTTTTAAATATACTTTTTTAATAAATTATGTCAGGGCTCTTACGTTTTATCGTAATTGTGCAAATAATCCTTCATTCGTCGAGGTAATTATCGAGTTATTTGCATTGAATGGGAAAACCATTAATTGAGATATTCTTCATTCGCGAATTCTCAACTTCAAGAAATTGTTCATTAAATACCACAAGTGGATGGAACATTCGCCAGTGACAATCATTGGTGAATGCTTTTTCCGAACGACGTGCATATCGATTTACTAAGAGCAAAACTCAGCGAAGAAATGTAATTAAAAGTTTGCGTCATGCCGTCGATTACGCGATGAAAATTCGATGTCTGCAGTTCTGCAGTTTTAAGTGATTGCTTCATATTCTTACACTTGAGACTATGTTTTCATATCAAACTTTCTCGAGGGATAGCTAATGATGAATGAAAATGAATATTAATTAATACTAGGGGGCCTCGCCAATAATTACGGATGTTCAAAAAATTTGTTATCAACCACTACAATTGGGAAAAGCCTTCGAATGAATGCAATCTCAAAAGTTGAATGCGCGATAAAAATCCGACGTCTTCACCTCAAAGTTCAAATAGCGCTGCAGTCTTAAGTGAATGCTTTACTCGTCCGCTTCATGCTGTTTCCACATTAAATTTCCTCGGGGATAGGTAACGATAAATAAAAAAGCCGAATAAATCCATCCGCGAATTCTCCCTCCGCGCAAATAAGGCTAATAATGAAACCCAATTACGTCCCTTTCCATTGACATTCACCACCCCGCATGAAAAATAGCTCTCCAATACACTGTCGAAACCCATCGCAAGCAATAACTACGTCCAAGTTGGAGATTATTTTTTCATCAGACCCCACGGAGGAATGAATGTCCCGACATGCCGAGTGGACTTCTAACCGTAGTTAGAGACAGTGAGGTCTATTGTTATGGACCTCCTAGGCCGTTCGAACGACTATCGTTTCTCATACAATCCAACAATTCTCATTCTCTCCTTCTCCTGATAATCCCATCCATAATCCACCCATACACCCATCTCACTCCAATGCCCGGCCACGCTCACCCCGGGTGACTAGAGGAGAATTCATGTTTTCTTTTTTCTCCTACTACGGTCCATTGCAGTGGAGAATGAGACAGGATGCAAGAGAGAGAGAGAGAGAGAGAGAGAGAGAGAGAGAGGGATAGACTAAACGATGATCATAGTCGGACCTGGGTATCGGGCATGTTTCACCGTCGGCTGTTGGATATGCGATGTCGCCCCGGGTCAAAAGATAATATCCCGTCTCTAGGGGTCATCCTTTCCACTACGATACGGTTCCGTGCCTCTCGCAACATACTCGCCGATAATACCTCTGTACTTATTCTAATGTCCAAACTCCCAACAGGGTGATTGACAATTGGGCTTTCGTGGAATTTTCGTTTATCGTGAATAATCTGGCAGATGGCTTTCCGATGGTTTTGAGGGTATAATGGGCACATTTGCATTTTTAGGAGGGCTTTATTTTAATCGTTTTCGGTGGACCACGTCAACCTTGGCGAAGTGTTTATTTGAAACAAATGGATGGTGCTATTTAAATAGCTTGAGATGTAGCTTTTAAAATCGTTATTTTCGTATGAATAAATCCGTTAATATACATGACTCTGTTAATGAGGAAGAGAATGAATTTTTTAACGTGTAATAGTCCTTCATCTGGATTAAGACATTTTCATTAAAAAAAACTCATGCAAGTTCCCTATTGAATGTTATGAAATGTTCAAAGAGCCTTTCTGTTCTTATTATTTTTTTACAATAATCTTATGACGAAACTAAGAAAATCGTGAATGACAAGACCATTTTATAGAAATAATTCAGTATCTGTATTTCACAATAACAAAATAATCTATGCTAAAATAATTATTTAGGTGCACCATAGGCATCAGGCATTCTCTCAATGGTATACCGATGCTGTGACACATACATAATAGGCACACCAGGTATTTTCCTTATCCTACTCTTCAAATCCTTGTCATTAGTCGCCACAATGTAGCACTTGTGTTGTGTCACTCTGTTCACCAAACAATCATCGGCGTATGTTCCCTTGTGCATGCAGTGTAGCCTCTCGAACCTCGGGTCTTTAATAATCCTCAGTGCAATCTTGTATTTCTGTCCCAGCTTCTCCAGCTCCCCCATCACACAGTCCGTTACGTAGGGAATGCACTTCGCGTAGAGGCACTCCATCATATTCTGAATTATGTCGAGTTTATTTTTTATCGAAAAATTTATGAAGTTTGTGTCGATCAGGATGTGATAGGGGGGCCCTAATTGCGTGTTGTATTGGAAGAATAGGGCTGATGATTGTTGGGGTCTAGAAAGAAAGAAAGACAATTAACAGAATTATTGAAAAAAAATTTTTGGCAATTAATTTCTGATGAATTTCAGGCTTTTCCGTTCACTTACGCCTCTCTGACTTTCATTTCTGTTGGATCTTCAGGTTTTTTCTTCTTCGGAGGTGCCCTTTTATCTGCTTTTCTAAGGAATCAAATCAACAGTGATGAGGAAATGTTAAAAGGATGAGAAAAAATTAACACTTTTAACTTGTTGTTTGGATATTTATGATTAAAAAATGAATTCATCAAATACGTCCACTCTGGACTCATTACGGAGGCGAAGAAATATACTTTTCGCGAAAGAAATTATCTAATATGATACTATATTAGACGAGTCAACACTATTATTAAAACGTCGAAGGTAAAACTTCGTTTTTTTCAGATATTAATAATTCAGAAAAAAATTATGAAATGAGCTCAATCTGAACTCATTACAAGGGTAGAAAAATACACTCCTAATCGACAAAATTGTATGAATTAATAAGAATTAACATTAAAAATAATCAGATATTGATGATTCTACCCAATATTGAATAAAATTAATATACACTAGAGAGCAAGGAAAAATTGTTTTTTACCATTAATAACTTTAATATTGATTAGAAACGAAGAAACGGATGTCATTAAAAACTCGACGAGTGCCCTTAAAAAAAACTAAAAATACCTCAACTATTATCAAATAAATATTTACATTCTGGAATCACTGGGGCTGATCATCTTCTTCATCTGCGCAAACCTCTGCATCACCACCTTCCTAGTTTTCTTATTCTTCCCCTGTGAACCACCAAATAAAAAACAACGTCATCCTCCCCCAATAAAAGAAGACAGGGCAAAACGGACACTAATTTTCTCTCAATGTCCATAACTGAAAAACAAATTTGTCACTTGCATTCCCACAGGGAATTCTAGAGAGAACTACACTCCAAAAAAATGACCCACTAAATAAAAAATTCAATGACTTATTGATATTTAAAAAAGTTCCAAGTATCCATTTTGCCCCCTCGCCCCAAAACCCAGAGATCCTCACCATCTTTCCCTCAAAAAATCGCAAATATCCCCAAAAAACAGCCCCAACTTCGCACAACCACGTTACTCGTCACTCTCCAAAACTAACCCCTAAACCCATGTGTTCCCCACAGGCACCTGCGCCCCCGGCCACCGATGGCAGCACCTCCCGGCCGCCGAATCCCTCTGCCAATCGTCCCTGAACTGTCCCCCAACGCCAAGAGATAAAAAAAAACTCATTTCATAACAGCTGTGCAGCTCCATGTTATGTTTACCTCTGCATTCAGTGAAGGGGCAATGTAACGTGGTCTCGCTGAATCGCCCAAGTTGACCGTGAACCCCTAAAAACTCTGCTAACTATGGCAACAACCGCCCAATAACCCCGAAAAGTGCAGTTCCCCCAAAAAAACCCAAAGATCTCGCCAAGAGGCTGGAAAAATCCTGATGGACACGGAGTACAGTGAGTCCTTTTCATTATTTCTCTGCCAAAATTAGGTGAGACGCGAGGGGGTGGGG